GTGCTCTCTCACTAGTCTCTCTCTCTTTGTTGTTTCTCTCTGGTCTCTCTGCCTGGTCTCGCTCCCTGGTCTTTCTCAGGTCTCTCTCTGGTCTCTCTCTGGTCTCTCTCTGGTCTCTCTCTGGTGTCTCTCTGGTCTTTCTCTGGTCTCTCTCTAGTCTCTCTCTGGTCTGTCTCTCTCTGGTCTCTCTCTGGTCTCTCTCTGGTCTCTCTCTGGTCTCTCTCTGGTCTCTCTCTAGTCTCTCTCTGGTCTCTCTCTGGTCTCTCTCTAGTCTCTCTCTGGTCTCTCTCTGGTCTCTCTCTCTGGTCTGTCTCTCTCTGGTCTGTCTCTCTCTGGTCTCTCTCTGGTCTGTCTCTCTCTGGTCTCTCTCTGGTCTCTCTCTGGTCTCTCTCTAGTCTCTCTCTGGTCTCTCTCTGGTCTCTCTCTAGTCTCTCTCTGGTCTCTCTCTGGTCTCTCTCTCTGGTCTGTCTCTCTCTGGTCTGTCTCTCTCTGGTCTCTCTCTGGTCTCTCTCTGGTCTCTCTCTGGTCTGTCTCTCTCTGGTCTCTCTCTAGTCTCTCTCTGGTCTCTCTCTGGTCTCTCTCTAGTCTCTCTCTGGTCTCTCTCTAGTCTCTCTCTGGTCTCTCTCTGGTCTGTCTCTCGCTGGTCTGTCTCTCGCTGGTCTCTCTCCGGTCTCTCTCTAGTCTCTGGTCTGTCTCTCTCTGGTCTCTCTCTGGTCTCTTTGGTCTTTCTCTGGTCTCTCTCTGGTCTGTCTCTAGTCTCTCTCTGGTCTGTCTCTCTCTGGTCTCTCTCTGGTCTCTCTCTGGTCTCTCTCTAGTCTCTCTCTAGTCTCTCTCTGGTCTCTCTCTAGTCTCTCTCTGGTCTCTCTCTAGTCTCTCTCTGGTCTCTCTCTAGTCTCTCTCTGGTCTCTCTCTGGTCTGTCTCTCTCTGGTCTCTCTCTGGTCTCTCTCTAGTCTCTCTCTGGTCTCTCTCTGGTCTGTCTCTCTCTGGTCTCTCTCTGGTCTCTCTCTGGTCTCTTTGGTCTTTCTCTGGTCTCTCTCTGGTCTGTCTCTCTCTGGTCTCTCTCTCTATTCTCTCTCTCTGTTGTCTCTCTCTGGTCTCTCGCTGGTCTCTGGTCTATAGTCTCAATCTCTGATCTCTCTTTAGATTCTCTTTATGGTCTCTCTCTGGTCTCTCTGTGCTCTATCACTAGTATCTCTCTCTTTGTTGTTTCTCTCTGGTCTCTCTGCCTGGTCTCGCTCCCTGGTCTTTCTCAGGTCTCTCTCTAGTCTCTCTCTGGTCTCTCTCTGGTCTCTCTCTGGTCTCTCTCTGGTCTCTCTCTGGTCTTTCTCTGGTCTCTCTCTGGTCTCTCTCTAGTCTCTCTCTGGTCTCTCTCTGGTCTCTCTCTGGTCTGTCTCTCTCTGGTCTCTCTCTGGTCTCTCTCTGGTCTCTCTCTAGTCTCTCTCTGGTCTCTCTCTGGTCTCTCTCTAGTCTCTCTCTGGTCTCTCTCTGGTCTCTCTCTGGTCTCTCTCTCTGGTCTGTCTCTCTCTGGTCTGTCTCTCTCTGGTCTCTCTCTGGTCTCTCTCTAGTCTCTCTCTGGTCTCTCTCTGGTCTCTTTCTAGTCTCTCTCTGGTCTCTCTCTGGTCTCTCTCTAGTCTCTCTCTGGTCTCTCTCTGGTCTGTCTCTCTCTGGTCTCTCTCTGGTCTCTCTCTGGTCTCTCTCTAGTCTCTCTCTGGTCTCTCTCTGGTCTCTCTCTAGTCTCTCTCTGGTCTCTCTCTGGTCTCTCTCTCTGGTCTGTCTCTCTCTGGTCTCTCTCTGGTCTGTCTCTCTCTGGTCTGTCTCTCTCTGGTCTCTCTCTGGTCTCTCTCTAGTCTCTCTCTGGTCTCTCTCTGGTCTCTCTCTAGTCTCTCTCTGGTCTCTCTCTGGTCTCTTTCTAGTCTCTCTCTGGTCTCTCTCTGGTCTCTCTCTAGTCTCTCTCTGGTCTCTCTCTGGTCTGTCTCTCTCTGGTCTCTCTCTGGTCTCTTTGGTCTTTCTCTGGTCTCTCTCTGGTCTGTCTCTCTCTGGTCTCTCTCTGGTCTGTCTCTCTCTGGTCTCTCTCTGGTCTCTCTGGTCTGTCTCTCTCTGGTCTCTCTCTGGTCTCTCTCTAGTCTCTCTCTGGTGTCTCTCTGGTCTGTCTCTCTCTGGTCTCTCTCTCTCTGGTCTCTCTCTGGTCTCTTTGGTCTTTCTCTGGTCTCTCTCTGGTCTGTCTCTCTCTGGTCTCTCTCTGGTCTCTTTGGTCTTTCTCTGGTCTCTCTCTGGTCTGTCTCTCTCTGGTCTCTCTCTGGTCTCTCTCTGGTCTCTTTCTGGTCTCTCTGAGGGATAGTGGTTTCTGGGAGGACAAGGAAACGTGGAGGGCTGATGCTAGTCTCAAAACATGTTGACAGGAGACAGAGGTTGGTGTTGGTGTTGTCTGTGTTTGGGGTGATGGAGGTGAATCAGGAGGAGGTGAAGCAGGAGGTGCAGGAGTGAGGAGGCGGAGCTTACCTCTGCGGATGACCCCTCCCTGACCGTTCAGGACCAGGCCACACTGCGCCTCCACGGAGCCCTGCAGAGACCCAAACAATCCATTCATTTGTTCTTTTTTAAATCTTTAGTAAAAACTAAAACTGTAAATATAACATGGAATGAAGCTAAAAGGCTAAATGCTAACTGTTGTGTTGCTATGGTAACTAGCACTATTTCCTAACTGAGATTGCTCTGAACCATTAAGGACGGTTTAGGACCAGTTTAGGACCAGTTTAGGACCAGTTTAGCATCAGTAAAGAAGCAAAACCTTGAGAAAAAGAGCTTTCACTGCTGTAGAATATTGGTTTGAATTTGACATTAAATGATTTTAGCAGTAAAATGACTGCTCTGGGAGTTAAAGGTAGAACTCTAATTTAAAAAAATAAAAGCTTTCATAAAAATGATAATATGAGAATAAACTAAATATAGAGACAGAAAAAGTCATTTGTATTTCTGTTTCTAAACTAAAAGCCGGGACCATCGTCACCATGAGGTCAGAGTGTGAGCCCAAAACGCAATTAGAGAAAGTTAAATCAATACAAACTCATTGGTCTCAGCCTCACATTGGTTCGATCTAAACACAGAGAAACTGAACCAGACCAAGTTAAATAATAATATTAGTTACTTTTTCAAAATACTTTCATAAAATATTAGGAAAACATCTTTAAAATATCCACTGAAGCTAAAGATGAGCCACAACTTTCCACTAAGATTTGGCAATTCATCCATCCATTTTCTTCCGCTTAATCCATTTCTGGGTCGGGGGGGTGGCCAGAGATGCCACCCAGTCCACAGAGCACCAGCCCCTCACTGATCCTCCTGCAGGTGCTGAGTCTACAGGAGCTGAGATCTTTCAGTGGGAGCTTCAGGCAAAGTGGGGTTAAGTGTCTTGCCCAAGGACACAACAACAGCAGTCATCAGTGGGAGTCGTGAAGTAGGTCTTACGGTGGGCTCGAACCCACGACCTTCAGGCTCAAAGGCCAATGCTCTACCGACTGAGCTACTGTCGCCCAGATTTGGCAATATCCAGCAATATGCACACACACACACACACACAGACGCACACACAGCCGCACAACGATACACACACACACATACAGACGCACATACAGCCGCACAACGATACACACACACACACACATACAGACGCACACACAGCCGCACAACGATACACACAAACACACATACACACATACAGACACACACAAACACACTTACACACACACGCACACACACACACATACAGACACACACACACAGACAGACACACACATACACACACACACACCCTAAAATACCAGAAAAATATGTTTAAAAAAAATAATCACTGTAAAAAGTAAAATCTCACTTTTTACTAAGAAACAGTTTTTTATCTTCGGCCCCGGAGCAGATGATTCTTGAGACGTGTGAAACCAAAACGAGTTAAAAACCCCTGATCTTTAAGAAAACCTTTGTCGAAAATGTAAAGAATCATTTCGAGGTGAAAAGGTAAAAGTGACACTGTCGCTTTAAATACAAGATGAAAAACCATTTCCCTGGATCATTAACGACAGAAAAACCTACAGATTCTTTTTCAGTACTTTTCACCTTAAACTTTTTACTACTTAAGTTTAAAAATAAATTGCGCTGAACTTTAGAAACTATTTATAAAAAGCGCTCAATAAATAAAGTGGATCAGACTCGGAAAACATCCATTTCTACAAACCTCCATTTTGAAACAGGAAACATGAAAACGCAAAGTCGTCAAACGTGTTGGTAGGTTGACAGTGACCGCAGCACTTTGAGGCTTCTCGCCGCATCATGAATAAAATTATTATTTCTATTTTCATTATTATTATTATTATTATTATTATTAGTAGTAGTAGTAGTAGTAGTATTATCATTATTATTATCATTATTGTTAGTATTATTATTATCATTATTATTATCATTATCGTTATTATTATTATTATTATTAGTATTATTATTATCATTATTATTATTTTTTATATTTTTTATTATCATTATTATTATATTATTATTATTATTATTATTATTATTATTATAGTTATTATTATTACAGACTCGGCACAGACTCGGCAACGTCTCGGCACAGATTCGGCACAGACTCTGAAAAGTCTCGGCTCAGACTCGGGACAGACTCGGCACAGTTTCGGCACAGACTCTGCAAAGTCTCGGCTCAGGCTCGGGACAGACTCGGCACAGTCTCGGCACAGACTAGACACAGTCTCGACACAGACTCGACACAGTCTCGGCACAGTCTCGACACAGACTGGGCACAGACTCCGCACAGTCTCGACACAGACTCGACAGTCTCGGCACAGTCTCGGCACAGACTAGACACAGTCTCGACACAGACTCGACACAGTCTCGGCACAGTCTCGACACAGACTCACATCATGAAACCATCCACGTCTCGTCTCATTTGCGTTTAAAGTGACATCCGTGTCTTCATTTCTTTGTATTTAGACTTTTTCAACATTTCACAGACTTCATGGCGGCCATCTTGGTTGCTGCTGGTGAGGCTCAAATAGATCAGAAGAACCCTCCACCTGTTTTATCTGCTCTTAACTGATTCAACAGCTCAGTGCCTCACCTCTCTCCCTGTCTCTATCTCTCTTTGTGTCTCTCTATCTTTGTCTCTGTCTCTCTCTGTGTGTGTTTCTTTGTCTCTTTCTCTCTCTCTGTGTCTCCATGTCTCTCTCGCTGTCTTTGTCTCTCTCTCTCTCTCTGTGTATCTCTCTCTCTGTTTTTCTCTCTCTCTCTCTGTGCTTCTCTCTATCTCTCTGTCTCCCTCTCCCTCTCCCTCCCTCCATCGTCCTCTGAACATTTTCTAGTATCGCCTTTTTGTTGGAAAGTGTGGATCACTTACGGAGCTTTGAGGAAAATTGAGGTACAGAGAAAATAAAGCAGGCGCCTCACGGCTGCAGCAGAGACGAGACTAATTTGAGCCGCTGCAGGCGACCTCACAGCGGGCAGGAAGTGTCCGGGAACAGAGCGACCTGTTGGGCCCGAGCCGTCACTATCCGCCGCTCACAGCCGCTATGGGCTCAGAGTATAGTATAGGTACAGTGTAGAGTCAAGTCTCTCCATGGTCCACACCAAATACATCTGTGTTAGATATGAGACCACTCTGAGGAGCACAGGGACTGGTCTCCTGCTGGGACTCTGAGGAGCACAGGGACTGGTCTCCTGCTGGGACTCTGAGGAGCACAGGGATTGGTCTCCTGCTAGGACTCTGAGGAGCACAGGGACTGGACTCCTGCTGGGACTCTGAGGAGCACAGGGACCGGTCTCCTGCTGGGACTCTGAGGAGCACAGGGACCGGTCTCCTGCTGGGACTCTGAGGAGCACATGGACCGGTCTCCTGCTGGGACTCTGAGGAGTACAGGGGCCGGTCTCCTGCTGGGACTCTGAGGAGCACAGGGACCGGTCTTCTGCTGGGACTCTGAGGAGCACATGGACCGGTCTCCTGCTGGGACTCTGAGGCGCACAGGGACCGGTTTCCTGCTGGGACTCTGAGGAGCACAGGGACCGGTCTCCTGCTGGGACTCTGAGGAGCACAGGGACTGGCCTCCTGCAGGGACTCTGAGGAGCACAGGGACCGGCCTCCTGCTGGGACTCTGAGGAGCACAGGGACTGGCCTCCTGCTGGGACTCTGAGGAGCACAGGGACTGGCCTCCTGCTGGGACTCTGAGGAGCACAGGGACTGGCCTCCTGCTGGTCCCAGAGTCAGGACAAACATGAGGAGGCAGAGTTTTAGATTCATGCAGCTAAAATCTTATACAGTCTTCCATAAAATGTGAGACAGGCTTCTTCTCTGACAATGTTAAAATCCAGGTTTAAAACAGTTCTGTTTCTGCAACACCAGAAGGATTGTACCTTTGCTCTCTTTAATGCACCGTGATTAATTCTTTGCGTGATGCTTTTATATTTTGCTTCACACACTTTGAGTTTCCTTGTGTGTGCGCTGTGCCATACAAATAAACTTCCCTTGCCTCGCTCTGAGCCGCCATCTTGCTCCTCACAAACCAGACCGTATCAACAATGTCATCAAGAGAAAGAACACACGCTTTTTTATTCAAGAAACCAGTTAATCCCTCGTGCGCGCCTCGGGTTTGGCCCACGGAGCCCGATTAAACCCGTGCGTAAAAAGGATCGTGTTTTAGTTTCTTTTTAAGCAGCTCTGGCCCCGGCTGCTTCCAGGGGCCGCGGCTAAAGTGATTATAGAATCAATATACAAAACGCACAGAGGTCCTGCATGCATTATCCCCGTGTCGAGGAAAGGTGTGGCAGCTGCCTTTGTTCACCGTGGAAATCTCTTTAACGCGCGGCTCAGAGATGCGACGGGACCGGCCTCACATCTGCTGCATGTCCGGGGCCAGACTGAGGTCCACACGGGTCCCCTCCGCGCAGGGAGCACCCGGGACCATGAGCGCTGTGGCCCCGGACAAATCCATCCCAACCGCCTCTCGCTGTGGAATAATGAGGCCGTCATCAACCGTGCGTTAGTGCGTCTTTATGCGTCTTTATGCGACGCTCAGAGCCCGCGGTGAGAAACACAAAGAGACGCATGAGAATAATCCTTCATCTGTCTGAGCTCGTGAGGCAGGATTCTAACTGCGGAATACGGAAGTTTCTCCTCAATCTGGCAACAAACAACACACTAACAGTAATATCAATGTTATTTTTGTGACGTCCCTTTATCTGCACCTCGTGACTGTAATGATGTGTAATAATAATAATAATAATAATAATAATAACAATAATAATAATAATAATAATAACATAGAATAGAATACAAATACTACTATCATATTATACTACTACTACTACTGCTATACTGCTAATATAATTACACCAACAATTATATCAATACTACCACTGCTCAGACTTCACTAATGCCACAAGTACTAACAATAACGTACAACTGCTATGTCACTGCAATTAGTAATATCAATAATATTGATAATATCCATAATATTAATAATATCCATAATATTAATAATATCCATAGTGTTAATAATACACATGTGCAGGATTTTAGATGAAATATGAACTATTCTCTTTTCTGAAACAATAACAAAATTTATTTTATTTTTTAATGTTTATTTTTGTGATTGTTTTGATTTAATTTCAACAGTTTTTTCTGTAAAGTTTATCTGAAGCACTTTGGAAACGTCTTTCATAAAATGTGCTACAAATACACTTCTTATTTTGGTTTTATGCTGTTAACAAACAACACTGTGGACTATACTTTTACTACTAAAACTACTGTTATTACTATAATAATAATGATAATAATAATAATAATAATAATAATAATAATAATAATAATAATAATAATAACTGTTGAATAACTGTTGAATAACTGTTGAATCCATTTGATAAAATACAAAACTCTAGAAAAATCCACAGGTTAAAGATGTAAAAGCAGCAAACAATGAAATGAATTATTTTTAAAAACGTAGAAATAAAATAAAAACGTATTTAAGAATGATTAAGGAAAAGCGTCTTTCTTCAAACAGAACAAACTCTGAATCTCTCTCATTGTTGCATTTATAAACCCTTAGAGACTTTTACATCAAACTGAATCTCACACATTTGTTAAAGGCATTTCATTAAAACAAAGTAGGGATAAAAATATGAAATGAGGAAACAGGAGATAAAATATTCTCATTTTCATTTTTTTGACGGGACTAGAATCATGTGAAATGTTCTCAAATGGTTTTGTTTTGTTCACAACACCAATAAATAAATAAAAATAAAAAGTAAAATTACTGCAGTGACTTTTTTTCTTCCACAGCTGAATTAAAATAATTGTTAATGAATGATTTTTTTACGTAGCGACGTATGTTAATTTACAGATGAATTAAACCCGAAAAAGAAATAAACTCTTGACTCAATCACGCACGGACCTTTACTGCTCTTGATAATAACTATAAAACTATATTAGCGAATTCTTATTATATCATCAGTATTATTATTAGTGATATTGTATTTGTATTATTTTATTAGTGTTCATTCAAAATAAAAATGTCAAAGATGTTTTTTATAAAATTCAAAGCTACTGTTTGACCCGCAGACAACACCAAAGGCTCTTTCTCTATAATTATAAATGTGTAAATTAGACAAAAACATGTATACATAAATATGTGATATCAAACACATTAGTCTATTTAAAGTCTAAATCCCAGTTATTTTGAGTCCTTTCCTACATGTTTCTGTCCCTAAATCCTACTGTAGTATAAACAGTCCGCGGCTGCAGCTCTGAGAGAGTGTGTTAACGTGTGTTTAAGCAGGAGCCGCGGCTGACGTCCTCAGATGTCGCTGCGTAAGCCCCGGGGTTGATTGACGTTAAGTCTGTAATTGGATAAACTACGGTGCTTTGTGGAGCCACGGCGGCCTATTGTGACCGCGGCCCGACGCTCTAATCCGGCCTTTCTCCCGGACACACACCGCTCTCCAGCCGCCGCGCTCCAACTCCTCATTTCTTTACATCCGCGAGATTTATGTAAAGTCTCGGTCACGTGCGTTTGTGCAGGAATAAAGAGCGGCGTGGACAAAAGGCGTGAATAGACTCCAGTCCATTAACCTTTGGAGACGCGCGGCTGCTGCGGACACGCGGCTCAACCTGCGCGTTTGGAACCAAAACAAATGTGTGTGAATGTGTTTTAATGTGTTTCAGACCCAGACCCTGCAGCGCGGACTAAGCACATCTGCCGCGGCTCAGTGGAAACATGTGCGTGCACGTGTTACGTCATTATCAAGCAATTACAGCGCGTTAAGAAGCCATTAGAGAAGCCTGTGTGTGAATATGCAACACAAATAAACTTGCCTTGCCACTACAGAGGCTTGTATCATGCGTGTGCTGAACATCGACATTTCTCAAACCATGGGGCAATAAAGGTTATTTTATTTTATCTTATCCACTGGACAAAGGGCTCGGCGTGGTGCCTCCTGCCCGGGACTGGACTGGACTGGACTGGACGTCTGACCTGATGATTTGTGGCTATATTCAGTCTCCATTATCAACGTGTAAATGTGTCTAACACCTCTCTCAGGAGCTGTTTAATGGTTTTAATTTTTTTTTCTAATTCTAATGTTATTGCACACAAAACATGTCTCATACAATTGCTCTGTTTATGCTTCAGAAATTGAATAAAAAGGTCCATAAAGAGTCACAAAGACCCTTTAGCTACATGTATTGTTTGATTCTCTGTTCTGTGCTGAAGAATCGACATCTTTGTAAAGTCCTCCGAGATTATTGAGATTTAGGCCGATACGCAAAAAATAATTGAATTGAATTGAATATTAACCATAATGGCCAGAGGAGCGAGAGAGAGGGACTGGGAACTGGGGGGACTGAGGGGGACTGAGGGTGACTGGGGGGGACTGGGGCCTGCTTGTGTGATGGGAGACACCCGTACCTGCAGGTCGTCTCCAGCGGACGGGGGTAGACCCAGACCGGCCCCCGGCAGCAGCCTCTGGTCCGGGTGGTGCATACCGACGCCGTAGGCCTGAGAGCCGTGTGACGTCATCAGCGACAGGTCATGGCGGCGGTACGCGTCGAGGCATCCGAGCTCCCGCCGCTGTTGCTCGTCCAGACACGACGACTTGAGGGCGGACCGCGCGCTGTGGAGGTTGATGAAGTCCGCCGGTTCTCCGTGGTGCAGCTGCTGGTAGTACTGGCCCGAGTGCAGAGAGTTCAGCCCGTAGGCCTCCGGGGCCACGGGGTGCGAGTGCTGGAACTCGTAATGGAAGGACTGGTGGTGCAGGGGCGTGTACTGGTGGTTCGCGGAGAAGTACGGCGACGCGAACTCAGTCCCAGCCGGTGCCGGGTACGTGAGAGGGGAGGAGGACGAGTAAGCGACCGAGGAGTTGGCCACGGACTCCAGGCACCCGAGCTGCATGAGCCGGTAGCTGTTTGATCCGTCGTGACGTATCTAGGAGACAATAAAGAGATGGTGTCGTTTAGCATCAGCCCCAAATGCTCTGCGCCAAAAACACTCATCCACAAAACACACACATCACGCGCTCAAAGGCTTTCCTCACGCGACTGCACCTGAAGGAGACGTCAACTCCACGCGTCGCGGCAACAGGAGCCGTCGCCGCGTCTCCCCTCCCTTCGGCGCGGCTGTCACTCTGCTCGCAGCGTTTTTTAAAAAGCCGCGCTGTTAGATATTATTATTATTAGCGCCGTTGGTGTAAAAGTGCAGCTCAGACTCAGACAGAGGGAGGCGAGCGAGACTGTGGAGACTGTGGAGACCGTGATCCACCTCAAGCACCAAGCACCACAATTCTCCGCTTCATAATAAAAATAATTTGTAGCTGAGACACTGCTTGCTTCATCAGCCTCATGACAGAGACATCCAGAGACTATTCCATCTCTCCTTTTAAATCCTCAACACAATCTAACGCCACTAATCTCCTCTTTACTATTATTTTAAAATGAAATTGAAAATACCTCTGCGTCGTGGACAAGCCCAGGGAAGGTCGCTGACATTGTGCTTTCTCCAAAAAAGTACCCAGTGTCTGTCTTCCCTCGCTGTCGGGCTTGGCTCCGGGGGGCGAATAACAAGAATAGTAATAATAATAATGATAATAACCACACACGCAAAAAAAAAAAAAAAAAAAAAAAGCCGTGTTAAAATCCTTTGGAAAAAGTGGGAGAGAAAATGGAGAAAAATCCTTCTTTTTTGCCTCTTCTCGCGTGAAGGCAGGCGGCTCAGGAAGCTGGCGTCTCCCCTCTGCTCGGATGGGGCTGGCGCTTGGATTTTGTACTTGCAGGGTATTTCTCGGCTGATGTCGTAGGTCCCTTGGTAGTATAGAAGTTTGGAAAATTAAGCATCAGCACTGAGCAATGGGAGGACAATAGACGGAGCGGCGCATCCCCAGAGACACGGGATAAATATTGTATCTACGCCTTAATAAGGATCCGACTCCTGCTTTCAACATTTTCTCCCCTTTTCTGGACATTTGCTATACGCGTTTTTCGACCATTTCTCTCCATTTAACCGAGGTTTCGACTCGTTTCGTAGCTTCTCTTGTTTAAGCTTTACAAACGAATGCTTTATTTTCAATGTGTGGATTTACAGCGAGAAATGTAAGTTTGTTTTTAACGCCATTTTTGATATTTTTTTTTCCTTTTCTCATTTGTTTTCGTTGTTCTGCAGTAGTTGCACATTTTCTCATAATTTTTACACTTCATGCCTCAAATATTATCATTATTACTGTGATTATTTTTGACTGTTTTGTGCCTTGAATATTGGTTTAAAGCCGATCATTACGCATGCGTTTTTACGTTTTTACGCACCGCTACATTCGCCCGAAAGATATTTATATATACGTTTATATTATTTTTTAAATGTCTTTAAACAATCCTTTGTATTATTATTTTTATGTTAATTGTCTGAACACATTTTATACATGTTTTATATATTTTAGTTTCGTTCACGGGACTATTGTATATTTGTGTAATTGTTGTGTATCGACATATTAAAAATGATTATGAGCCAAAAATATTTACGATTTTCTTGTTGTATATTTGCATATTTCTCGGTCAATCGATCATCTCTCTCTCCTCTTTTTCCTGTATTTTCTGTTTTCTGTCACTCACCTGCCCCAGCTTCCCCACGGTGGTCCCGCGCTCAAGCTGCACGAGCAAGAAGAGGGAGATTCGCCATTTGCTATTTTACATCAACAGACTTTATTGCACGGGTTCGTTTGCGTCCTCTGTCTCGTGCACGTTTACGTCACTACGGAACTCAACCGACTCTATCGCTTCAATCTGAAACCCACGACTATTGACACAAATGTGGAGTGATGCTCTTAGTGCTGCGGAGTGCCCTTAGGCCACGGGGGGAACGCAACACACGCACGGAACATGTTGAGGAGAGAGGAGGAGAGAGATGAGGAGGAGAGAGGAGGCGAGAGGAGAGAGCTATGGACCAATGGCGGTAACGGCTGTTGGATGTTTTTAAACGTCTCCAGAGCGACCCGCGGGTGTTGGTGAAGCTACAGTGAGACGCCAGGACGCGCCTAGACTCTAGATTTTAATTAAGGAATATTTCCCTTCCCATCTGTTCCAACCACTCCAAGATTAATAACAGCTACACTATCATTCGCTGCCATCTCTCTCTCTCTCTTTCTCTTTCTCTCTCTCTCTCTCTCTCTCTCTCTCTATGTATTCTGTAAAAACATTGAAATAAATGTAACTCAAACAGTTCTTTCAAGCGAGGGGGGTCCGGTGCTTCTCACACACAAACGAGCACACGCACGCACACGCATGCACGCACACACACACACACACACAAAACAACACAAAAAACTTCCCAAGGCCTTATATATTTTAATTACTGATTATTTTGCCTGGGGCTCCAAAGGTAGCGTCTCTGCCAGTGACTCCGTGACTCCATGACTCCAGGGCCGGTGAAGGCCACGTGTCGCTTGTCAGGTGTAACCGGAACCAGGGCTGCAGACCCGGGGAAGAGGCGGCGAGATAAAGCGAGAGGCCACCGGGCATCGAGCAAGAAGCTTTTGAGGCAATTAACCGAGTGCATCCTGCGCGTAATTGTGGGTTGCATACTCGTTTGGGATAAAGGTGAGATAAGAGAGGGTGAGGGCCGTGGGAAAAAGGGTGAGGCCAGGGAGGAGGAGAGGGAGAGACAGGGAGGAGGAGAGGGTGAGGCAGGGAGGAGGAGAGGGTGAGGCAGGGAGGAGGAGAGGGAGAGACAGGGAGGAGGGGAGGGTGAGGCAGGGAGGAGGAGAGGGTGAGGCAGGGAGGAGGAGAGGGAGAGACAGGGAGGAGGGGAGGGTGAGGCAGGGAGGAGGAGAGGGGTGAGGCTGGGAGGAGGAGAGGGTGAGGCAGGGAGGAGGAGAGGGAGAGGCAGGGAGGAGGAGAGGGAGAGGCTGGGAGGAGGAGAGGGAGAGGCAGGGAGGAGGAGAGGGTGAGGCAGGGAGGAGGAGAGGGTGAGGCAGGGAGGAGGAGAGGGTGAGGCAGGGAGGAGGAGAGGGTGAGGCAGGGAGGAGGAGAGGGAGAGACAGGGAGGAGGAGAGGGTGAGGCAGGGAGGAGGAGAGGGTGAGGCAGGGAGGAGGAGAGGGAGAGGCAGGGAGGAGGAGAGGGTGAGGCAGGGAGGAGGAGGGGGGTCATACTGGGACAGGTAATGGTCCTGACAAGAGCCTGGACTAAATTCATCAAACTGATAATTACAGGAGCGCGTGCGTGAGAGTTTTTGTCGCAGTGAAAACAAACACACACATTATGGTTTTGAACTCACCAGTTGCTTTAATAATACTCGGACTCCCAGTATTCTGAAATTATAGTCAATGAGCAGTCATTTTGACGGCTCCCTTTAAAATCAATTCTGAAAAATTCTGAAAAAATTACCTCCCCCAAAATGATTTCAGTTTTTCACTTTACTTTCATTAAAACTAAACGTGATTCTTACGTTGGCTTATTGTTGATTCACACAAACTCGGTATTAGCTAAAACGAAATGCTAACTATCCAAGTAAACAGTGTGTTGCTATGGTAACTTGGATAGATGAATAAAAGTCTGTATCCATCCAGTGAAAAAGTCTCAAAGTTATGGAAACGTAAAAACTTTTATGCCGAAAAACATTACAATAGGACTCCCTAAGCAGTCGTTTTGACGGGTCCCAATCAAATTAGTAGAATTCTGGGAAAAATCTACTCCAAAGAATTATACATTTTCACTGATTTTCAATATAGTTTCATCTTAAACACATGCTACAACTGGTTCATATAAATAGCATACAGCAGAACCAAATGCTAACTGATGCACGTAAACAGTGTGTTGCTATGGTAACTAGCAACTGGACTAGTCTATAATTACATTCATATTAACATAGAATTGAACACATATAGAAAACCTCACAATGTCATGAAAACCAAAAACGTATAAATGCAAAGTCATTACTGTCAGATCAACTGCATCAGAATCAGAACTATTTTATTGTGTTCTCTCTGTGTGTCTGAGAACCGGGCTTGTTGCCGCGGTCCGAGGCTGTACGCGCGGCAGCAGATGCCCGGGTGTTGGGTCCCAGACCGGGGCCAGTCCATCTGCGGACCGGCCCCAGACGCCCGCAGCCCAGAGGCGAGAATTCAGAGCAGCCCCAAAGGATTGTGGGAGATGAAGCCTGTTACTGACTCTGTTTATGGCCCAAGAGTGGGACGAGATTCTCATGCGCAATGTGGCCTTAACACAACAGCAACACAACACAACAGTAACACAACAGATAACAGAAGACATTAAGTCCCAGACCAAATGTACGGATGTAAACAATTATATTTTTCTTAGAATGCAGTATTATACACATTTTCTGCTAAAGCTACAGATGTCATTGTATGTTTTTATTATTATAGAGTTATTGTTCATTTTGTGTTGTTGTGATCCTCATCCTGTTGTGTATCTGATGCAACACTGACATTTCCACTGTGTGACCACTATCTTTTCATCTTTATCTCAATCTTAACATTGTCTGAAAAACGTTAAAAAGTTGTATTTCGCTCAATACAATCATTATTATTGATTATTTTTAGTCGTAATTGAAATCAACGCATTTGTGCATCGCCCTGAATCACAGCAAGAACTTTACAAAGTTGTGGATTTGAAATGATTTGCTCAATAAGACAAGAAACTGTCTGTGGCACGAAAATATATCTGACTTGTCCGAAAACTATACTTGGCAAATTGTAATCTAATTTTTTTCCAAAACGCACATATTTTTCGCCTTTTAAAAAACAGTTATTATGTCATTTATCTGTTTTTGTAAATGTCCATAAATACATGTGAGATTTTAAGGCATAAATAACAATACATAAGCACGTTAATATATGTTTTTTTTTTTACAGCTAATGCTAAATGCTAATTATGTAGCTAATCTGTAAAACATAGGGAGATTTTTGTTATTTTTGGAGCTATTTATCTATGTCCAGGGCACTTTTACTCCGAGTGCCATAAGTCTGCTAATATCGGCCTATATGCACCACATTATAGTAATCCTTGTTAATATCCCCACCCCACACTGTTGACATCTGGATAAATACGCTTGTTTCTTCAAATATAACAGCCTTACGCATTTCCCCGCGTCCTAATTCTAAGATTAAACTCGCGGAGAAAGATCAAAATCTCCTTTTACGCACAGAAAAAAAGGGATGCTCTATAATCCAGATTTAACGCGGTGATAGAGGCAGAGACACAAGGCACATGTCAGATCTTCTTAGTCTCTCCTTCCTTCTGGTTTAATGGTGGGCCACACTTTATTTATAATAGATCAGTCCATAGCCTGCAGTCATGTCGCCTATTGCTGCCGCGGTAAACACACAGCCTGTGATATGCCTTCAGTTGGGCTTCGAGACTGCGGCGCGGGGTTACAAACCATGTGAGGACGCGTTATGGTGTCTGTCCCGGTCCGTAATGAGCCCACGGACTGACATAATAATAATAATAGTGTTGATGTGCAGGAGATGGAGCCGGATGCTGTCTGTCTTGTCTGCTGTCTACAAGCTGCGTCTAGTGCGCATGTGTTGGCCTTGTTATTATGGCACTGGGGCTGTTGTTATTATACTGCGTCCGTTTGCGTCGCTCTCCTTCTCTCTCTCTCTCTGTCTCTCTCTCTGTGACTTCTGCATCAGCCAGAGTATAATCATGGAGTGGACTTAGCAGCAAACGGGGAAAAGCAATTAAGAAAATGGCCAGAGTGACCTAGATATGGATGCGCCTCGGAAAGAAAGCACAGGTTAATATGCTAATATGGATCTGCTAATTGTAGGGATTTACTTGTCGGTTTGACGGGGGAGGAGGAGGAGGGCAGGGAGAGGGGTGAGGAGGGGGAGAGGGGGTGGGGGGGGAGACCCGGGGGCGTCGGTGGCTTGTTTAAGCTTCTAGATCTGCAGAAAATTAATTTGTGTCCGATGCGGTGCGTGAGGTGAGAAGGGAAACAGGTGGTCGGGAAAACAGAAACTCTGAGTTAGAGCTTATTAATCCATTTGAATCAATGACGATTTAATTGTATGGCACATTTCGTGGCCAATCAAAAAGCGTCACAAGAGATTATTATAAACACAGACACAAATGCATTAAAAACGACAAACACTATCATTATAAAATCATTTTCTTATTAAGACTCTTTTGAGGGTTTAAAATAATTAATGTAACATAGAATCAGAAGCAAAAGTGATATGTTTTAAATAGTTTTGAATATTGTCAGAGAAGAAGCCTGTCTCACATTTTTAGGAAGACTGTTCCGGGATTTGGCTGCATGAATCTGAAATACTGGCTTTCTGTTTAGTTCTGACTCTGGGACCAGCAGGAGGCCAGTCCCTGTGCTCCTCAGAGTCCCAGCAGGAGGCCGGTCCCTGTGCTCCTCAGAGTCCGAGCAGGAGGCCAGTCCCTGTGCTCCTCAAAGTCCCAGCAGGAGGCCAGTCCCTGTGCTCCTCAAAGTCCCAGCAGGAGGCCAGTCCCTGTGCTCCTCAAAGTCCCAGCAGGAGGCCAGTCCCTGTGCTCCTCAGAGTCCCAGCAGGAGGCCAGTCCCTGTGCTCCTCAGAGTCCCAGCAGGAGGCCAGTCCCTGTGCTCCTCAGAGAGTCCTTGGAGAGAGCTGGATATATATAATATAAGTATAATCATGTTTATTCTGTAACAGTGACTGGTTTCACAGGATTTTATATTTCATTGAGAATAAAGAAAATAATCCGGAGAATGGAAACACAGATTCTCTGATTTGGTTTGTAGCATTTTTCTGAAATACAGATTATTTAGGGTTTTATTTATGTGTTTTTATAAAGAATATTCATAAAAATATTAAGAAAAAACCTGGGCCACAGAAAGACCAGAGAGAGACCAGAGAGAGACCAGAGAGAGAGACCAGAGAGAGACCAGAGAGAGACCAGAGAGAGAGAGACCAGAGACGAGAGAGAGACCATGAGAGACCAGAGAGAGAGATCAGAGAGAGACCATGAGAGACCAGAGAGAGACCAGAGAGAGAGACCAGAGAGAGACCAGAGAGAGACCAGAGAGAGACCAGAGAGAGACCAGAGAGAGAGAGACCAGAGAGAGAGAGACCAGAGAGAGAGAGACCAGAGAGAGACCAGAGAGAGAGATCAGAGAGAGACCAGAGAGACAAGAAAGACAGACCTAATCCCAAATGTACCTAGTTTGTGAATGTTTAAACATTCACAAACTTCACTTCAAATTATCTTGTTATATGCTCTGTCCTGTAGTTGTCTTTTCTCTGATATTGTTTTGTGATTTTGATGTTGAATGTGAAGTTTCACATCAACCTGTCTACGGACAACAGATGGAAATTATCCTATGGCTAAAATCTGACATATTTACATATTTCTATATGTTCATTACTATGTACTGTCCCTAAATAAATAAATAAAAGAAGAGAGAGACCAGAGTCAGGTTAAGGCTAATGTATGGTGTTTCTGCATATGTGTGTTTCTCAATAATTAATTTATATACAAAAACGCTTTAGTAATCTACTAAATGACACAGTGAGACATTTCTAATTCTCATTTATAACAGTCTCTCTTCCACAGGCCTCTACACCTGAACCTAAAGCGCACCTCTTCTAGATTCTTCCACTCTCTCCTTCTTCCTCTCTAGCGTCTGGAAGTATCCGCAGTTCACATCTCGATACATCCTGCCGAGAGCACACATCATATTAGTTATTACTGCCCCAGGGTGACACCCCCACCTCACCCACAGCCGCAGGACACCGCGCGGCCACTTCAAGGCCCTGCTCCACCTCTCTCCTGGAGAAAACGGTGGAGAACAGATACACAAATAACACCAATCTCCCTGTATTTCCCCCCAAAAAGCACCGCGCACACACGGACCCACATACGCGGACACGGAGAGGCCTCGGTCCGGGTATCATCTCCAGTTTGTGCTCCCAATTAGTGCGTCTAATGTTTCTTCTTTGTTGCACTTAATTACTCGCTGGAGTCAACACACGGGTGGTGGTTCGAGAATGGCGCAGACACGTGTGGGTGAGGAGGGAGGGAGGGGGAGAGAGGGGAGGGGAGGGGGAGAGAGGCCAATCTGCCGCTATAACGGACAGGCACCAGAGCATATTGTTACGTATAATCCTTACGCCGTAAAGAGGCTGCGGAGAGTAAACAAGCGAGATTATAATAACGAGATCTCAGTCGCAGCGTCTCAATGTGCGTCGTACGTAAACCCCGCGTGACAACTTTTTTTTTTTGGTTTTTTTTTTTTTTACTGTTAGGACTTCTGCTCATGCGTGAACAGAGAATTGATCTAAACCGGAGCAAAACTTAACTTCTGCAGCTGTCTTTTCAGGAGATGCAGCAGCGTCCTGGTCTGGATCAATGATGGTTAACTTCTCTCATCTCGCAGGACACACAAACACACACAAACACACACACACACACACACACACACACACACACACACACACACACACACACACAACACGCACGCACGCACACACACACACACAACACGCACGCGCACACAGACACGCACAAACGCACACGCACAGTACAAGGGTTATTGTGACTCCCATGTAGCTGCATTTAACATTTGGTCAGTGTAAAATATGCATTTTCTACTTCCGGGTGGATCATCATTTCGGTGACACGTGCTCGTCCAAAGAGAGAAACCAGAGAGTTTTGTTCAAAAAGTGGAGAGTGCAGTTTCTCCCTAAAATTTAAGAAAAAATCCTCCTCAATATTCTTCTCAATATTGTACCAAACTTCCGGAGACTAAAGAAAGATTTCTCTCGTTTTGTTTAAAATACTCTTTATATCTGGGCTAAAACAACGTTACTTTACTTTAATATTTACAACCCATTCTTTACTGCGCGCACACGTTTTATACTTATTCATAAATAGTTTTGGGAAGCTTTAAGTTCTTGCAGCGTCACGCAACAGATTGTTTCTGTTGCGTGATAAAGACATCTCCAACACCAGGTCTCGCTAAATTCTGAAACTATTCTAAAACTCCCAGAGCAGTCATTTTGACGGATCAACGTTCAAATGAAGGGAGTTCTGAAAAAAAATCCCCTCAAAAAAGTTTTAGATTTTGACTACTTTTATCAAAATCACTGTCATTCATTCGGGTTGGAATAAATATAGAGACAGAAGAAGTCACTATAAGTTTTGAAAAGCAAACACGTATAAGCAAAGTACTATACATATTATGTTTATGTTTATTATTATCTGTTGTTGAGGAGTTTTTGACACGTTTGACCCTAAACAACACATGGCAGAGACTAATGATAAAGATAGAATAGAATACATAATAAAGTAGATGAAATATATATGAATAATAGTAATTTTAAGCCCTGTTTCCACCAGCCCTACTCTACTCTACTCTACTCTACCTTACTCTACTCTACTCTACTCTACTCTCCTTACTATACCTTACTCTACTCTACTCTACTCTACCTTACTCTACTCTACTCTACTCTACTCTACCTTACTCTACTCTACTCTACTCTACCTTACTCTACTCTACTCTACTCTACTCTACTCTACCTTACTCTACTCTACTCTACTCTACCTTACTCTACTCTACTCTACTCTACTATACCTTACTCTACTCTACTCTACCTTACTCTACTCTACTCTACTCTACTCTCCTCTACTATACCTTACTCTACTCTACTTTACTCTACTCTACTCTACTCTACTCTACTCTACCTTACTCTACTCTACTCTACTCTACTCTACCTTACTCTACTCTACTCTACTCTACTCTACTCTACTCTACTCTACTCTACTCTACTCTACTCTACTCTACTCTACCTTACTCTACTCTACTCTACTCTACTCTACTCTACTCTACCTTACTCTACTCTACTCTACTCTACTCTACTCTACTCCACTCTACTCTACTCTACTCTACTATTTTCCATTACGTTTTAAAATCTGGTATCGTATTCTGGCAACCTTCCCACAACAAACCAGAATCATGGGTAAATTCCTTGGTAACCATGGCTTCCAGCAGCTCTTTGGCCAATCACTGTGAGTTATAATAACACTTTAGTACCAGCTCGGCCCAGATAGAACCAGGACCAAGAGGGACTATGGAAGGTAGAGACTGTAACCAGCTCAAACAAAAGTTAAGTTGACAAATGTAGTTTCTCTAAAGATTTCAGTCCAAAATAAATTAAAACGTGCATATAAATATGTAAGGCTTTCTTTCTTCATATCATTTCGTGTGACTGAACTAATACTAACTCATAAAAATAGAGGTTTCCAGAAGTTTCTCACTTTTTTATCAGTCCCAGACACAGCTAACAGCGCAGTCAATAAAACCATCTGTCTCCGGTGGTCTGTTGGTGCAGTTCATGTCCCCGCCAGCAGAGGGCGCCTGTCTGGGGGAGCGCGGTGAGGGGGAACCACCACTCGCCCACTCCGCTGCAGACTCTCTTTCTATGTTTAGAGCGGATGAGGACGGGGTGAGGCAGGGGTGAGGATGGGGTGAGGCAGGTTCAGTGGCTTTGATCACCTAATCCAGAAGTAATCGCCGTAATCTCAATCTAATGTATGTTTATGAAGAACACTGTCCTCGGGATTATCACGACTGAGGCGGAGGTCTTTCACCATCAAAGTCTACGGATCCACTCTTTAACTCTGCAACACACAGACTGTTCACAGATGGACAATGCTAACCCGCTAGTACAATGGAGCCCAATAGGGAAGTGCTCATGGACGAAGTTTGGCTCCAACTCGCTCTGGCTCCTATTGATTTGTAAAAGTAAAATCCTCGAGCTCAGTATCTGTCTGTGTCACTAGTCAGACCTCTAAAGCTGTGCAGGGTAGGTCCTGGTTAGTGCTGTGATGGGAGACCTCTGGGAACACCAGGAGCCACAGTGGGGCGGCTGCGGCTGAAAAGTGCGGGAAAGACACTTCACTCACATCAGAATAAATCTGGTGGGAGCAGCTGATGGTATGTTCTGGTTGCCTCGTGGCGGTCAGTGTGCCCCCAGGGCAGCTGTGGCTCCAGTAGTTTATCATCACTGTGTTTGGAGAGAAAGAATAAATGTGAAGAGTCTTTGAGAGTCCTGAAAAGTGCTATGTCAAACCAAAGCATTCAGTTGAGTACTTGCTGATAACAGAAAACAGAAACAAGCACATGGTGGGAATTCCTAAAACTAATATAACTGACTTTTAAAATGTTTTATTACTCATTTCAACAATAAGAAAATGCTTTAACAATTACACATTATAGCATTTGTTCAACAATAAGAGCCACTGTCACTGTCTGCTGCGACAGACCGACTGTAGACCCAGGACTGAGGCTGTAGGTCCAGGACTGAAGCTGTAGACCCAGGACTGAGGCTGTAGGTCCAGGACTGAGGCTGTAGACCCAAGACTGAGGCTGTAGACCCAGGACTGAGGCTGTAGACCCAGGACTGAGGCTGTAGACCCAGGACTGAGGCTGTAGACCCAGGACTGAGGCTGTAGATCCAGGACTGAGGCTGTAGACCCAGGACTGAGGCTGTAGGTCCAGGACTGAGGCTGTAGACCCAAGACTGAGGCTGTAGACCCAGGACTGAGGCTGTAGACCCAGGACTGAGGCTGTAGGTCCAGGACTGAGGCTGTAGACCCAGGACTGAGGCTGTAGATCCAGGACTGAGACTGTAGACCCAGGACTGAGACTGTAGATCCAGGACTGAGGCTATAGATCCAGGACTGAGGCTGTAGACCCAGGACTGAGGCTGTAGACCCAGGACTGAGGCTGTGGACCCAGGACTGAGGCTGTAGGTCCAGGACTGAAGCTGTAGACCCAGAACTGAGGCTGTAGGTCCAGGACTGAAGCTGTAGACCCAGGACTGAGGCTGTAGATCCAGGGCTGAGGCTGTAGACCCAGGACAGGCTGTAGGTCCAGGACTGAGGCTGTAGACCCAGGACTGAGGCTGTAGGTCCAGGACTGAGGCTGTAGACCCAGGACTGAGGCTGTAGATCCAGGACTGAGGCTGTAGACCCAGGACTGAGGCTGTAGACCCAGGACTGAGGCTGTAGGTCCAGGACTGAGGCTGTAGACCCGGGACTGAGGCTGTAGACCCAGGACTGAGGCTGTAGGTCCAGGACTGAGGCTGTAGACCCAGGACTGAGGCTGTAGACCCAGGACTGAGGCTGTAGATCCAGGACTGAGGCTGTAGATCCAGGACTGAGGCTGTAGACCCAGGACTGAGGCTGTAGATCCAGGACTGAGGCTGTAGATCCAGGACTGAGGCCTTAGACCCAGGACTGAGGCTGTAGATCCAGGACTGAGGCCGATTGACCAAAAGCATCTTTGACTAGAACTATACTATTATTATTGCTATAGCTTCTTTTGCCTCAGACCCAGACTCAGAGAGGCCACACCCACTTCTCCTGACACATGACCTCAGCGCCACAGATTAGAAAGTTGAATTAAACGCACACAACTCCACTCTAACACAACATTCATATACAATTAAAGTTGCCCGGCGCCTCTGCTGCAGCCGTCTCGCTGTCAGGCCACCATTAGCCCCATTGATTTCCCCCCGCCGTCCAACTCATCGCTCTGCCTCCGACGCTTTTGTTTACACCCAGACCCAGAGCTGCAGCCGGAGAGAGGGGCAGCGGTGCAGGAGAGACGCACAACAAACACACAACAAACACCCCACCCACAAGGAAGACGCACAATTATAACAGACTTCTTGGGCTTTTGAGCCTTTTGAGCTACAACGACGTGTTAGCTTAAGTCGCGGGGAATCTTGTTTACAGTCAGGTGGATGTAGCGTTCCCGGTTTTTTGATAAATATATATAGTTTTGTTGCAACCGCTGGGATCAGAGGCTGAGGGAGCGTTATGGCAAGAAATGTATAACACAACAACACAGTTTGATAGATAGATAGATACAGAGATAGATGGAGATGGATAGAGATAGATAGAAAGAGAGAGAGAGAGAGAGACAGATGAGACCTTCTCCACCGACTCCCACTGATGACTGCTGTCGTTATGTCCTTGGGCAAGACACTTAACCCCACTTTGCCTGAAGCCCCCACTGAAAGATCAAGGTTCTAGAGCAGCCATCCTTCTGTGGGCTCAGTGAGGTGCTCTGTGGACTGCATGGGTACAGGTCTGACTGCCAGCCCCGACCCAGAAATGGATCAAGGGGAAGAACATGCATGGATAGATAGATAGAGATAGAGATAAATAGACAGAGATAGAGATAGATAGAGATAGAGATAGAGATAGAGAGAGATAGAGATAGATAGATAAAGATAGAGATAGAGATAGAGATAGAGAGAGATAGAGATAAAGATAGAGATAGAGATAGATAGAGAGAGATAGAGATAGAGATAAATAGATAGAGATAGAGATAGAGATAGAGAAAGAGATGGAGATAGAGATAGAGATAGATAGATAAAGATAGAGATAGATAGAGAGAGAGAGATAGAGATAGATAGATAGAGATAGAGATAGAGAAAGAGATAGAGATAGATAGATAGATAGAGATAGAGATAGAGATGGAGATAGAGATAGATAGATGGATGTGTAGAAGAGGGGTAGATAGACAGAATGATAGATTTAGCTTTTGCCTGTGTTTAACCTGGAAAGCCCCGTGCACTGAGGATGTAGCGCAGCATGTTTTGTAATAGATATGATTTTATTCTGCCACCGCTGGAGATCATAGACTGTGGGAGACAATTTAAAATAACACAACCACAACAACAACCCGGCCGTGTGTAGCCGTGTGTAGCCGTGTGTAGCCGTGCGGCGGGAGCAGGGCATGCGTCTGACTGCCGTGTGTGTAATTACCAGGGAATGCTGCTTTGCTGTGTGCACAATGATCTCATTTAGGGAGTGCACGCCTTCAAACGCAGCGCGACGCACACGTACACGGCGCGGGAGTCGGTTCAAACACACGCAGGGAAGTAAACACAAGGCCTCTGCAAAACCCGCTGGGGAATCTCTCTCTCTCTCTCTCTCTCTCTCTCTCTCTCTCTCGCTATTTTTTTCTCCTCTCCTTCTTCCTGCGGTTTCTCTCTCCTCCTTTGTCTGCGCCTGATTATGCGCCTGATCCCTGGGTGCGCTCTGACTGAGATCATCCACCTGTCAATCTCTTCTTTCCCCTCTCTCTTTCTCGTTTTATACACACACACCTATACACATTGACACACGCACACACACACACACCTATACACACTTATACACATCTATACACACGCACACACTTACAGACATGTATACACACAGATATACACACTTACACACACTTATGCACATATAAACGCACACACACACACATACACTACTCACGCATATATGTACACACTCATACACATGCACACACACACACACACACACACACACACACACACAATTCCACCAGTGATATTGATACCGTGAAAATATTAATGACTTCACTCACCTGCAATACAGCGCCGTAGCTTGCGCTTCCAACACACGGGGTCCATGCAACTCATCAAGCAAGACACTTTTGGCTTGGGAACTTCCGAGGCATAAGAAGAAGAAGAAGAAGAAGAAAAACACAGGCTCATAACATGGTGAAATAACATATGCTTTAGTTTGGAATACATCAAGGAGCAAAGCAACACGTAAGACAGAGCAGAGCAGCGATGAATATGGAGAGGCCTGAATTATGGATTTGTATCAGTGTTGCATCTCTCTCCAGATGTGGTTATGGTGAAGACGGAGAGACGCCGAAAACATACACCAGAAATGTTGGCTTTCCCTTTACTGACAAGGCATTTTACTGGTGGTGGGTGGATGGATAGAAACTAGAGAGAGAGGCCAGAGAGAGACTAGAGGGAGACTAGAGAAAGAGAGAGGCCAGAGAGAGACTAGAGAGAGACTAGAGAGAGACCAGAGAGAGACCAGAGAGAGACCGAGAGAGACCGAGAGAGAGCAGAGAGAGACCAAAGAGAGACTGGAGAGACCAGAGAGAGACTAAAGAGACCAGAGAGAAACTAAAGAGAGACCAGAGAGAGACTAGAGGGAGACTAGAGAGAGACCAGAGAGAGACCAGAGAGAGACTAGAGGGAGACTAGAGAGAGAGCAGAGAGAGACCAAAGAGAGACTAGAGGGAGACCAGAAAGAGACCAGAGATAGACTAAAGAGAGATACAAGAGAGAAACCAGAGAGACTAGAAAGAGAGACTAGAGAGAGACCAGAGAGAGAGCACAGAGAGACTAGAGAGAGACCAGAGAGAGACCAGAGAGAGACTAAAGAGAGAGACTAGAGAGAGACCAGAAAGAGACCAGAGAGAGACTAAAGAGAGATACAAGAGAGAAACCAGAGAGACTAGAGAGAGACCAGATGAGACTAGAGAGAGACCCAAAAGAGAAAAGAGAGAGACCAGAGAGAGACTAGAGAGAGAGCAGACAGAAACCAGAGAGAAGACAGGGAGAGACCGGAGAGAGACAGCTTAAAGTATTTCAGTCTTCCATTCTGAACCATAGCGATGCCGTAGCTCCTGCATTAACCTTTCAATTAGCGTTCCACTGTTTAGACATTTCCTCTGTTTCTGTCCGTAAACTTTCCTTGCTGCAGGTGCAAACTGCTGCTTGTTATTGACTGTGTTTGCGTATTGAAATCAATCCCATGTATATTTGAAGGTATTGTCCGCCTCATCACTGCAGTATTCTCACCGCTCCAGACTCGCTCGATGTGTTCAAGTAAAGATGAAGCCCGGGTTCTTATTTCTAATTCAGGAAGTTGAGTTTGAGTTGCTCTGCCGTGATTCTGGAGTTTTTCTCTCGCCGCAAACAGGAGCGAGACCCTAGTGTTTGTGTATAATCCCCCGAAATTTCACAGACAAGTCATTTTAAACAAAGCGGCAAAGGGCCCAGAGGGGGAGGGAGTCAAACCATCGACCAGGTCAAACCCAGGCTCAGGGGCCAAATCCGGACTTTGCAATCTGTTTTCCCGAAAGATCCCATCTCCTCATTTCCCTAATGGACCTCATTGAGCTAACGGGTTAGCATTGTCCATCTATATAATAGTAATAATAATGTTTTTCCGGACACTCAAAGGTGTTTCACATTGTTATTCTTTCTCTCCAAACACAGCTGTGATAAACTACTACTGTAGCCACAGCTGCCGTGGGGCACACTGACAGAAGCGAGGCAACCAGTCTGTGCCATCGGCCCCTCCCACCACCACCACCAACCATTCACACACACCAGACTCATTCTAATGTGGGGGAAGTGTCTTGCCTAAGGACACAACAGCCTGGCACTACCGCAGCCGCCCCACTGTGACACTTGATGTTCCCGGAGGTCTCCCATCACAGCACTAACCAGGCCCTGCCCTGCACAGCTTCAGAGGTCTGACAAGATCTGGCGTTTGCATGTTTAACCACCGTACACTACTATGTACAGTGCACTAATTCTTAGACGGTCAAAGCTGAAGCCTCATGTTTGGTTGGCCCTGTCTCACTTTCTCTGGGTCTGAACATTGTCTCACATTTTCAGGAAGACTGCTCCAGACTTTTATCTACGTAAATCTGAAACGCTGCGTACTTTCCACTCGCACACTGTCTGTGTTAGGTCCAGGCATTTCCCCGTCTGTGTCTCATTCACTCGCCCCATCACTCCGGCATGACGTCCCAGGCCGCCGCCGCCGACCGCCGCCGCCTTGGTGTTACCATGGCAACCCCTCTCCGGTCTCTCCGCCGCCGCGCATACATAGCGGCTACAGGTGCCATAATGAGCATCATCCTCTGCCCTCACCTGCGTCTGACTGACACTCCGCTGAGCCGAGGAAGAAGAGCCAAATCACAATTAGTGATGCAGCTAATTTCCCACAATGCCCTGCAGCCACCGGGCGACCCACGGCGCCCGCAGGAGCCACAGCATTAATATTCATGCGCTGGAGGACGGATATGCAAATGAGGCCATACACGGTCCAGGTGAAGGAGAGAGAGAGTGGACCAATCAGAGCTGTCGGGAGATGGACGAACCAGGAAGTGGCATCTGAGAGCATCAAAGGACCTCGTTTTACCTTCTGACAGTACGTTTAGCAGGAAGTGGGAGATGGATAGAGATTGGTCGCTTCGTAAACGGCTCATATCTGGATTCACAAAGACGACGGAAAAGTATAAACGGCAGGATCACGGGGAAATGAGCTCTGAGTCCTGACTAAGCACCTTACGACCACTAAACCTTCTTTTCTTTACTTATCTGTTGTGTTTTTTTATTGTGTAAATGTGATTTTTATGAATATTTTTTGTGGATGCCAAGTCTCTATATTTTAACTGCAAAAATAATCTACGTATCGGTTAAAATAATGTCACCTTCAACCTCAAAAGTCCAAAATGGTGAGTGCGAAACCCTGAAGTCAATTGGAACCAGAGAACTTCCCTATTGGGTTTCGTTGAGTTAGCATGTTAGCGTGTTAGCATGTTAGCGTGTTAGCATGTTAGCGTGTTAGCATGTTAGCATGTTAGCGTGTTAGCATGTTAGCGTGTTAGCATGTTAGCGTGTTAGCATTGTCCGTCTATAAACAGTCTGTGGGAACACAAAGCGGCGCTCTGTGGTTGTAAAATGCAAACCGTTATTGTGTCATTTGGCAAGACACTTCACGCCACGTCAACTCAAAGTGAAAACAAGAGACGAAACATTAAAATAAAATCAAACATAAAGACCCAGGTCTGAGACTGTAGACCCAGGACTGAGACTGTAGACCCAGGACTGAGACTGTAGACCCAGGACTGAGGCTGTAGACCTAGGTCTGAGACTGTAGATCCAAGACTGAGGCTGTAGACCCAGGTCTGAGACTGTAGACCCAGGACTGAGACTGTAGACCCAGGACTGAGGCTGTAGACCCAAGACTGAGGCTGTAGATCCAAGACTGAGGCTGTAGACCCAGAACTGAGGATTTCGATCCAGGACTGAGACTGTAGACAGGACTGAGGCTGTAGACCTAGGTCTGAGACTGTAGATCCAAGACTGAGGCTGTAGACCCAGGACTGAGACTGTAGACCCAGGACTGAGGCTGTAGATCCAAGACTGAGGCTGTAGACCCAGGACTGAGGCTGTAGACCCAGGACTGCGACTGTAGATCCAAGACTGAGGCTGTAGACCCAGAACTGAGGATTTCGATCCAGGACTGAGACTGTAGACCCAGGACTGAGACTGTAGATCCAGGACTGAGGCTGTAGACCCAGGACGGAGCCTCTTGACCCAGGACTGATCAAGGACTGAGGCTGTAGTCCCGCAGGACTGAGGCTGTAGGCCCAGGACTGAGCCTGTAGACCCAGGACTGATCCAGGACTGAGGCTGTAGACCTGCAGGACTGAGGCTGTCGATCCAGGGCTGAGCCTGTAGACCCAGGACTGATCCAGGACTAAGCCTGTAGACCCAGGACTGAGACTGTAGATCCAGGACTGAGGCTGTAGATCCAGGACTGAGGCTGTAGATCCAGGACTGAGCCTGTAAACCCAGGACTGATCCAGGACTGAGGCTGTAGACCTAGGACTGAGACTGTAGATCCAGGTCTGAGACTATAGATTCAGGACTGAGCCTGTAGACCCAGGACTGATCCAGGACTGAGGCTGTAGACCCAGACTGTAGACCAAAGACTGAGGCTGTAGACCCAGGACTGAGGCTGTAGACCCAGGACTGAGGCTGTAGACCCAGGACTGAGGCTGTAGACCCAGGACTGAGGCTGTAGACCCAGGACTGAGGCTGTAGACCCAGGACTGAGGCTGTAGACCCAGGACTGAGGCTGACACAGACTTATACGCTGCACGTATAAAAAGCCAGTTTACTTTTGTTTCAGATGTGCAGTCTCGGCACGTCACCCGCGGTTCTCGATGGGTCCATTAATCTTTCCATAGTCCGGGCGTGTGTTCGAACCGCCATCATTACTGTACGGTCGGGCCGAAGACCGTGTTCTTCGGGGGAAAACCTTACCTCGGCAGCGGCGCGGTACTTCTCTATTCTGCGGCTGTAAGAAGAGGCTTTGAACGTGGCTCTTCAAAGCAGCAGGCAGAGCTGTCAATCATCCGGACCAATCATGCCCCGGTTAGAATGCTACGGGACAGTCTGGTACGGACGGGTTTAGACGGGTTTAGACAACATTTACATCATAATTAATCACAAAAAGAGTAAATATTCACAGCGCATTAAAAAGAGTCAAGATAAAATCCTTCAGTTGTTGCAGAAACTGTTTTTAACCTGGATTTGAACACTGTCAGAGAAGAAGCCTGTCTCACATTTTCAGGAAGACTGTTCCAGATTTTAGCTGCGTGATTCTGAGACGCTGCCTCCTCATGTTTAGTCTTTAGTCTCTCTCTGGTCTCTCTCTCTGGTCTTTCTCTCTGGTCTCTCTCTCTCTGGTCTCTCTCTGGTCTCTCTCTCTATCTCTCTCTGGTCTTTCTCTGGTCTCTCTCCCTGTCTCTCTCTCTGGTCTCTCTCTGGTCTCTCTCTCTGGTCTTTCTCTCTGTCTCTCTCTCTGGTCTTTCTCTCTGGTCTTTCTCTCTGGTCTCTCTCTCTCTCTGGTCTCTCTCTCTGGTCTCTCTCTCTCTCTGGTCTCTCTCTCTATCTCTCTCTGGTCTTTCTCTCTGGTCTCTCTCTCTCTGGTCTCTCTCTCTGGTCTTTGTCTCTATCTCTCTCTGGTCTTTCTCTCTCTGGTCTCTCTCTCTGGTCTCTCTCTCTCTGGTCTCTCTCTGGTCTTTCTCTCTGGTCTCTCTCTCTGGTCTCTCTCTCTCTGGTCTCTCTCTCTGGTCTTTCTCTCTGGTCTTTGTCTCTCTGGTCTCTCTCTGGTCTTTGTCTCTATCTCTCTCTGGTCTTTCTCACTCTGGTCTCTCTCTCTGGTCTCTCTCTCTCTGGTCTCTCTCTGGTCTTTGTCTCTATCTCTCTCTGGTCTTTCTCTCTCTGGTCTCTCTCTGGTCTTTGTCTCTATCTCTCTCTGGTCTTTCTCTCTCTGGTCTCTCTCTCTGGTCTCTCTCTCTCTGGTCTCTCTCTGGTCTTTCTCTCTGGTCTCTCTCTCTGGTCTCTCTCTCTCTGGTCTCTCTCTCTGGTCTCTCTCTCTGGTCTCTCTCTCTCTGGTCTCTCTCTGGTCTTTGTCTCTATCTCTCTCTGGTCTTTCTCACTCTGGTCTCTCTCTCTGGTCTCTCTCTCTGGTCTCTCTCTCTCTGGTCTCTCTCTGGTCTTTCTCTCTGGTCTCTCTCTCTGGTTTCTCTCTTTCTGGTCTCTCTCTCTGGTCTCTCTCTGGTCTCTCTCTCTGGTTTCTCTCTCTCTGGTCTCTCTCTCTGGTTTCTCTCTCTCTGGTCTCTCTCTCTATCTCTCTCTGGTCTCTCTCTCTGGTTTCTCTCTCTCTGGTCTTTCTCTCTGGTCTCTCTCTCTGGTCTCTCTCTCTGGTCTCTCTCTCTCTGGTCTCTCTCTCTGGTCTCTCTCTCTGGTCTCTCTCTCTCTGGTCTCTCTCTCTGGTCTCTCTCTCTGGTTTCTCTCTCTGGTCTTTCTCGAGGCCAGTCCCTGTTTTTGAGTTGAGTTGAGACTCTTTTTTAAGAGAAAGTAAATGTCGTCCAAACAAAAGGAGCAAAATGAAACTAAACGAAGCAGAATCCGAGATTCTTTATTGTTCCCTCGTCAGGATCAGATTTTTATTAAGTTAAGAGTCAGAATAAAGTGAAAATCAGACACATATTTTTAAATTGGCCGCAGGTTCAAAAGACCCAGCATGTAACAATAACAACAATAATAACAATAATAACAAGATTAACAATAATAATAATAATAATAATAATAACAACAACAACAACAACAACAACAACAATAATAATAATAATAATAATAATAATAATAATAATAATAACAATAATAATAACAATAATAATAATAATAATAATAACTGTTCTGGACACTTTTATATTTTGCGTTTGTCGTTAAAAAGATAAGAACTGTTTCGAGGTGAGATTAAGGAAGGACAGGAGAGCACAGGTACATGAAGTCACAGAGAGACATAGGTACATGAAGTGACAGTGACACAGGTACATATAGACACAGAGACACAGGTACATATATACACAGAGACACAGGTACATATAGACACAGAGACACAGGTACATATAGACACAGAGACACAGGTACATATATACACAGAGACACAGGTACATATAGACACAGAGACACAGGTACATATATACACAGAGACACAGGTACATATAGACACAGTGAGACACAGGTACATATAGACACAGAGACACAGGTACATATAGACACAGAGACACAGGTACGTATAGACACAGAGACACAGGTACGTATATACACAGAGAGACACAGGTACAGTACATATAGACACAGAGACACAGGTACATATAGACACAGAGACACAGGTACATATATACACAGAGACACAGGTACATATAGACACAGAGACACAGGTACATATATACACAGAGACACAGGTACATATAGACACAGAGACACAGGTACATATAGACACAGAGACACAGGTACATATAGACACAGAGAGACACAGGTACATATAGACACAGAGACACAGGTACGTATAGACACAGAGACACAGGTACGTATATACACAGAGAGACACAGGTACAGTACATATAGACACAGAGACACAGGTACATATAGACACAGAGACACAGGTACATATAGACACAGAGACACAGGTACATATAGACACAGAGAGACACAGGTACATATAGACACAGAGAGGTACACAGGTACATATAGACACAGAGAGGTACACACACAGGTACACACACAGATACACACACAGATACACACAGGTACACACACAGATACACACAGGTACACACACAGATACACACAGGTACACACACAAATACACACAGGTACACACACAGGTACACACACAGATACACACACAGATACACACAC